AACTAGAATTTTCGAAATCTGAATACAAAGAATATAGAAATAGAAATTCAAGATCTTGAGGCTATTCTATAACATTAAAAAGAGATTTTAGGGTTTCAAAAGTTCCAGAATTCTAAAATCTTTGAAATTACAAAATTCTAAGATTCTATACAAATATTTTGGAATTTGAAATTTCAAGACTAAATTTTCAAAATTCGACAATTCTAGAATCCTCAAGATTCTAGAAAAGTAATCTAAATTCTAGTTTAAAAATGCAGAATGTGAAGTCAGTGTTGCCAATCCAAATAAAAAATCCACTTTGATCGCAATAATAAATTACCTGGAAGTCTGACCACCGATCCGGCGGCGGGATTTTTGTCTTCAGGACTCTCCAGCTGTAATAAAGTGTGATTAAAGGGGGCTATAATGGGGCACAAGAAGTTGCATGCTTACACGGGATCTCACCTCGTCTGAGAGGTCCTCAAAGGAGGCAAAAGGGGCAGGACCCATGCGCTTCTGACGTCGTGATGGGTTAACACCACCACCACCACCACCACCACCATGGGTACTCCCAGGTACCACCGACATGACTACTGGATTAAGGGCAAGCAACAAATGTTTAAAAACACAAAAAGTGCTAACGATGACGAATCTTCGGGATTAACCTCCAAATTTACTAAAAATTAAGGGAAACAAGAGGTTTTTTTCGAGAAAACTAATCAATAATCGATGAAATTTACCCAATTTCAGGGGGCTATAATTAATTACCTACCTGAAGTGATTTACATTTTTTTTTTTGATAAATCCACCAAAATGTCCACTATTTTAGTAAAAAAATACGAAAATTGCAAAAACGATGAAACTAAATTTTCGATTTAACATGATAATGAATACTAGTAGTACTACAACGTCGATTTTCAGGCGCCGCGACGGATTTTGTGGTGGGGGAATGCCAGTTTTGGACGTCACCGATAGGGAGCGCCCGATTGTATAACACTAACCCCGATCAATATCCCTCATTGGTCATTGACTTATCAAAACAATTGCAAACGCTCGCCCACAGCACACTAAATTAAGACTGATGCTATTTTTAGATTTTCAACACGTAGTTTGGTTATTTTCTGGTTTATTATACTCTATCTAACATGAATTTTATTGCTCTGTTTTGCACACTTTCTAATTTTTTATTTTTAAAATGATTGAATCAAAATTGCCGCCAATTTAAAAGACATTAGTTACGTCAAAGTGCAGTGTTGCAAACAGTGTGAAATTTCACCAGATCTGGTGATTTTTAAATTTTGAAACGATATTTCACTCAACAGGCTAAAATAGGTCAAAAAGTACATTATTTTGAAATTAGATTGAAATCGATATTTATTTTGCAGAATATTGTCAAATATGCACAACAAAAATAAATCTAAACTGATGTTATTTCGTTTGTTTTATTCGATTTAGCTCTTTTTGAGTGAAATTTTGTCAAAAAAATCCTACGAAAAATACAAAATATGGTCAAAAATGGTGTTAATTGCAAGATTTTGCTAAAACAAACGAAAAAAACCATTAAATTAAGTAATTATTTTTGCCTTTATTATGTGTTTTAGCATGTTTTTCGAGTAAAAAAGTGACTGTAAATGATTTGGTATCAAATTTAATTTTTAATTAATTTAATTTTTGGTCCAAAGTCCAAAAAAACCGTTAATTAAGTCTCAAATGATGTTATTTTGTTTTTTTTTTCAATGTAAAAATTGAGTTTTTGCTTTTTTTCGTTAGTGTTAGCAAACTTTTCAGTCAAAAATGCATTTTTTTTTAAGAAATTCGGTTCAAACAAACCGAAAAATTATCAAAGTTTGCTAGATTTAGGTCATTTTTTTGGAATATTTTGTCAAAACAACAAAAAAGCACCAAATTGCATTAAAAATGACGTTCTTCAGGATTTTTTTTTACTCAATTTAGCTTGTTTGTGAGCTGGAAACGCAATTTTTCAATAAAATTTCTCTGAGAAACATTGAAATTAGATCTAAATTGGTGTTATTTTTATCTTTTTAGTAAAAAATGATGTTTTTTTTTCAAATATCCAAATGCTTGATTATTTAAATGATTCAGAAAATATGATAAATATTTTATGACCCGCCACTGGACGGAATTTTCGTTACTATGACGACTTTCACTTTTACAACTTGTTACTATAGTTACTGTATGTATTTCCATAGCAACAATACAAACTTCCCGACATGTGCGACTCGTTTAGGATAAAAAAAAGGGAAGCCATTTGTTAAATACATAAAAGGATTTTTATAGACGTAACAAAAACTAAATTAGGTCGAAAATTACTTTTTTTTGAGCGTTTTTGTACGCTTTCCGAGAAATTTCGCTAAAAAAAACACCAAATTTGGTCGAAAATGGTATTACTTTTACTTTTTTAGGACATTTTTGCTCCAAAGTCCAAAAAAATCGTTAAATTAAGTTGCAAATGATGTTATTTTGTTTTTTTTTTTCAATGTAAAAACTGAGTTTTTGCTTTTTCTCAACTTTTCAGTCAAAAATGCACTCTTTTGCTCGATTTAGGTCATTTTTTTGAAAGATTTTGTCAAAACAACAAAAAAAAAACATCAAATTAAGTCATTATTTTCGCCTTTATTATGTGTTTTAGCATGCTTTTCGAGTAAAAAATGATTTGGTGTCAAATTAAATTTTTAATTTGGCAACCTTGACTTTCAAATTCAAACGTCAAACTTTTATAGGCAATTGTGACGGGCGATTGCTGATTAAGCCGTCAGTTGAAACATTATTCTGATATAACAAATTTAAAAGGATTACCACTAATTCAGTGTTGCCAATAGACTTTTTTGTTTATTATTAATAAATTGAAATCTGGTGAATTTAAATGTTTTTAGCTGGTATCACTGGTCACAAACACCTGTAAATGTTTCTAATTGTGTCATTTGTGCTTACTTAGTGCTTTTTTGTGGTCCCAACACCGAATTTGTGATAAAAGTTGTCAATTTAGTGACATTGATTTGAATTTGGCGCCGCACACCTGATTCTTCAGTGGCAGTTTAATGAACCAGGATTTCACGACGAAAATATCTGCGTCAAACCACGTCCTTGTAAATGTAAATTCATCACCATTTTCAATTAAACCAAAACGTCGAATTTTCATCGAAAAAAATGCCCATCATTATTGTGGTGACGAAATCAAGTGACTTGAGTAGCTTGTAAATGAAACAAAACACAATCGGTAAGTCACAAGTCGAATTCTAACGAACTTTAGTGCAAAAACACGATTTGTTGTTGTGTTTTGACCCAATTCACGGCTTATCAGTGATGTAATCGTATCATATTATCACAACAGAGAAAATTTGTATGTGATTCGTGTGTTTTAGGTGCAAGATGAATGAGGCAGGTCCAGGCCCTTTGAACCCCAAACCCGACTTCACAAAGTGCAAGATTGTGAAAGAAGGGTGGCTTTACAAGCGTGGGGAGCACATTAGGAATTGGCGTCGACGCTATTTCATCCTCTTGGATGATGGTTCACTTTTAGGTTATAAAAATAAACCAGATGAGACCTCAATGCATGACCCCTTGAATAATTTCACTGTGAAAGGGTCACAAATCATGCTGGCCGATAAACCAAGACTTTATACGTTCACAATGAGGGGGCTGCAATGGACCACAGTCATTGAAAGAATGTTTCATGTTGAGACAGAACGGGAAAGGTGGGGGTGATTAAAATACCGAAAAACACACTAATTGTCACTTTTTTTTTTTTCTAGAGAGGAGTGGGTTATGGCCATTAAGGGGGTTATAGATAGTCTTAATGTTTATTGTGAAGACATTGAAATGAACTCAGAGGGGAATATGGACGATTTATGTGAGAAATTCTCCCTACAAGGCACCTCAATTTCATCAACAGGCAAACGAAAAGTCACTTTAGAAAGTTTCGAATTTATTAAAGTGTTAGGAAAAGGAACATTTGGTAAAGTCATTTTGTGTCGAGAAAAAGCCACTGGGCGTTTATACGCCATTAAAATTCTCAAAAAAGAAGTTATTATACAAAAGGACGAAGTCGCTCACACACAAACCGAAAATCGCGTTTTGCGCAAAACCAATCACCCATTTTTAACCGTAAGTCACAATAATTTTTTCATGATACGCCACTGGACGAAATTTTCGTTACTATGACTACTATTTGTTACTATAGTTACTATATGTATTTGCATAGCAACAATACAAACTTCCAGACATGTGCGACTCGTTTAGGATGAGAAAAAGGGAAGTTTTGTCTTGGTCGAAAATTACTTTTTTTTTGTGCGTTTTTGCACGCTTTCCGAGAAATGTCGCTAAAAAATCACCAAATTTGGGCGAAAATAGTGTTACTTTTACTCTTTAAAAAAAAATCGATAAATTAAGTTGCAAATGATGTTTTTGTTTTTAGTTTTAGGACACTTTTCAGCCAAAGACGCACTTTTTTAAGAAATTAGGGTCAAACAAATCGAAAAATTATCAAATTTTGCTCGATTTAGGTCGTCTTTATTTGAAAGATTTTGTCAAAACAACAAAAAAAGCACCAAATTGGATTAAAAATGACGTTCTTTTATGGATTGTTATAGACGTAACAAAAACTAAATTAGGTCAAAAATTACATTTTTTTTGAGCGTTTTTGCACGCTTTTCTAGAAATTTCGCTACTTTTTTAAGACATTTTTGGTCCAAAG